TGCAAACATGATTTTCAAGTTATGCAAGCATTTCTCCCTATTACTCATTTAATTGTTCAAGAAGTACTGTTTGCATACATCAAAACTGTTTCATTTCATACAATGAATAATCATAGAATCATTTAGGATGGAGCTCAAATAGATACAGCAATTACTTCCGTTGATGGCAAGTCCATGGTTGATGCAGAGGTCTAGCCTCAAAATCATGCACCGTCAAGTGAAAGAGTTGACTTACAGCTCAGATATTTTGAAAATGAGAATGTTTTTTCCTTAATTATTATAGTTGTAAATACATCACTACATCACTAAATATTTAATTCCATTTCTGAAATGGTTGGCCTAGATTATTAAATCAAATTATACCGTATCTTTAGATGTTTTCAAAACAAGTTCAATGTATTACAGCATTCCCTAGAATTAAAATGAGCAAGAGTATGCCAGCACTGATTGAAACTGTGAAGTTATGAGGAAGACAAAGAAAAGAATCACAGGCTTACCCTGAATTACAGAAACAGTTCCAAAGGCCTTGACCATGGCTCCAAAGTAAGCGATTAAATACACGGTTAAAGAGACGGTACAGATGTAAATTTTCAATGTCTGGAGTTTTCCAGACACGCTGTAGAACTGCACGAACACTTGTCTTTACTATATCCAAAAGCTAGGAAAGAATACTTCAAGTAAATCAAAGTGAAGGCATATTGCAAAACCAAAACCCAACTGATGGCTGATTCCCTGCACACACATACACAAATACACACACAGATGCCTGCAGAGCTATAAATTACCACAGATGTCTATGTTTCATTTCTGTGCATTCATCAGCAAACTTTTAATATACCCTTTTTCTGTCAATAATATTTTTCAAAGCCAAATCAAAATATTTTATTTTTATTACAGAAAAGTTAATTTCTATTTCTTCAGTCTGTTCATTACTACTTCATTTAAATGACAAAAAAGAGTTTAAAAAAGAAACAAAATTATAATCTCTTCATCTATTCCCACTCCCTTTTAAAATAGCATCTACTTTATAAAGAACTAAAATGTCCTGAAAAGCTCCAAACTGCTTTTGGTTTAATGTCGGTTTAAGCTCATTATGTTACCCGGGATCAACCATTAGTTTACCTGGTAGAAGACAGTGTAGTGAAATCAATAAATAAGTAAATAATCAGCAAAATATTTAAAATAGCAACGTTTATAGAAATGCCACGGATTTATTATATACAGACTACATTGAAATGCAAGTGCATAAAGAGGTGGGTGAAGAAAATGCTGAGCTGAATTCAGTATAGCACAGACACACACCCAACACATCAGAGCCCTCTTGGATACACCTTTGCACATCCCACTGAAGTGGGACATGGAAGGAAGGTGGGATTCATCTTGCCTGTTTCTGAACATCTGGTTGTTCTCTTAAGTCAAGCCTCTATGTTCCCTCCATAATCACCGCAGAGAAACAGGCTCCAGAGTGTTTTCGCTTCTATTTCAATATTACCAATAAGACTGGGAATAGTTTTGTGACCAAAGTAGTATTTTGGCCCCACACTGGCACTCTGAACAGTGTAAAATCTACCCTAAAACAAGCCCATGGGGCATGTAACCTGTTAAGAGAAAAGTCAGTTAAATCAACATAATTTCCTCTAAAGGAAACACTGTTTCTGCCTCTTTTGCAAAACAGCATCATCCAAAAACCAGTCAGACTCAAGTGGGTGGTAAACAGATGGAGGTATTTGTTGATTTGGTATAAGATTTTGCAAATTAGAAGGTACAGTGCTTTCCCAGGAAACTTTCAGAAATGTATGACAAACTGATTCACATGGTGAAACATATGGTTCTCAAAAGGTGAAAGAGATTTAGTACAACAGTAAAGTACGGAAGCATAGTGTAGAATTGCAATTTTTTGGTTCTGCATAACAAACTTGTTTATAAATAGTCTGATAGGACACAAGAAAGGAAACAAAGCATGAATAAATATATTTGCAATAGCACAATGAAGCTGAATAAGTAATGTTTAATGGGCAGAAAATTCATAGATACCAAATAATGACAGCCTCAATGAAATGTCTTTTCCAAGTTATTTAAGCTCCTTTTGAAGACCTACAATTAGTCCACATGCATAGATCTTGCAGCAATTCCATGCACATAATAACCCAATGCAAATATAATACTGTCCTCTCTGCTGGGAATCTTTATGAATGCAGGTGTCTAACACACTAAAAACCACACCCATGGTCTTCTCCTCCCAAAGAGTGAGATAGAAAGAGTAATAAATTATAACCTAAGGATGCTGATCTTTTTTTAGTGACAGCAGGAGCTACACTCAGGTTTTGGATAGCCACTCGCCTGTGCAATGGGTCTAGATTTCCAGACACTTCCTCAGCAGCATCAGCCTATCGTCTTCATGTTTCTAAAGCATGTTTCCTTGTATCCTGCCAGTCTCAGACTTTCTGCACAAACAGCCAATATCTGTGATTATATACACCTATTTGAACCAAACAAGTCCCTGTATTACATAAAGGATCAACCATACATTTCTTTGCTATGTTACACTGATTAACAGTAATCTATCTCCCTGTATAGGTTCTCTCACTAGCCCAAAACATGTGAGCTAAGAACAATGATGCCAAGGTAGAGATTTTTCTTATACTGTAGGACCCGGAGTTGAAAAACTCTAAGGACTGAACATCTTAGAGCAAGCTGCAGACTGCCAGGTACTCTGGAAAATCTTTCTTGCTGTTTTTTACTGTGTGGATATTGTCAATATGCCAGAGGGGGAAATGTACCAGTTAATTGTCCTTAATTTGCAAACATGGCCTCAATCATCCATTTAAGAAAAGAGACAAGGCATTGCACAAGGGCTGGAACTTCATGAAACCTATATCTTCATTTTTCTAAGTTAATTTCCCTAGCTTGCCTTCATCTTTCTGTTTACTTTAATTTTTATCATTTACTTTAACAAAACTAATTATCTAGGTGTAACAGAACAAGATGTTATGAAAGAGCACATTCAAAACCCTCTGGTAACCATCAAAACACTTTTAAAGAAATTATGTAAAGCGAAGTAACATGAAGCAGTCATAACTCCTCCCATACAAAAGTCTCTTTTTCCTGAAAGTCTCAGAGACTAAAGTTCTTTTTAGCATGCATTGATTTAATTGGTTTACTCTCAACTTGCTTCTGAATGTCTCCTGTACTTGTGGTGTAATGCCAGAATATTACACATTCAGAATATGAGCAAAGCTTAATTTTTCTACATCATGTTGAATAATTATTAAGCAAATACAGCTGTCAGGGATGAACACTGTGAAGTCTAGTACACTGCCCAGGTATTTCTTTATGTGTGTTAGAATTTCCCAGTAACTATAGTTAAGGGGACTGAGATTCTGTTATGTATTTCACAAAGTTGCAGAAGGTACCTTTGAGACAGATTCCTTACTTGCATAAATATTCTCCACCTTGAGCTCACTTCTCCTTTACCCACCTCATTGGAATATAAAACATACTTCTTTCAAATCAACAAAAGCTTACACATTTGGCAGTCCTCAGCTGCAATGTCATTGTCAAAGTTAATCCGTTTTTATAAACTACCCTTCTAAGAATAACTATCTGATTGCTTGAAGGGATTGAGGTTAAAAGCAGTTTTAAAAAAAAGGCAAATCATTTCCAGTGCAAGCAAAGATGAAGGGTTCTCTAGTGCTTCAGGAATTATAAGTCTCCTAAGTTGTAAAAGATGTCCTCATGAGAAGAGCAGAAAGTCCACATTTCTGCTTGTGCAGTTTTTGCGAATAACAACCTGGCACATCAATCTGGATCGTCCTGACTTTGTACATGTACCCTTGGTTTAACATGACTGCCAGTCACATAAAGGGCAGAACCACCCTTTGTTGTAGACTTTCTGAAATAATGCTTAAAGGAGAAACTTCTTTGCTTGGCAGTTTCATTTTTTATTCAACATGATGTGTTGTAATACTGTGGGTCAAAGACTCAAATAGCCAAGTGCAGTATCCTTAACTCTAATGGAGTTTTAATATGCCTGGTCTGAAACTGCTGACTTGTTTAGCCCTTATCAATCAAATCTGCTGAGTCAATACACTTTAAGAATGTTAGCTAAGAATTAGATATTTAAGCACTAATCATTTCTTTATCTTCTTTTCTTTCAGGAGAATAATTTTTTAAGAAAATGAGTTTTAAATTATAATCCAGGGTAATTCTGTTTCTCCAAATATGGAGCAGCGCGATTTCCTACAATAGAATTAATTCATATATATGTTAGTATCAATACCCAGGAGTTCAGCATCTCAAGCCACTCCCAGCCACTGCTAAACACCAGTAGAAACACTGCTATGCATCTTGTTCAGATGACCTTCAGAAAATTAAATGTATGTCACTTACTTTTCGTTGCTTTACTGAATCCAGTTTAACCAACCAATAGGATGACACTTTTGTTTTATGGTACTTCCAATTATCCATAATCTGTAGTCATAGCAAAACACAAGATACAATAATACACATGAAAACAACTGAAAGCTGTTACAGAGCACTGCTGATGCTAAAAAGTATAAGCATCTAAAAGACCACTGTGAAAAGAACTTTTCTCTAAAAGAAATGGAAAAATATTTGCTAATTTCTGTGTGGGAAGATTTTCAAAGTCATGTGATTTTTCAATTTAATCCCACCCTCTTTACTACCCAATTCTGACAACCATACACTAGAAATCAGGGAGAAACTTGTCTTCACTGACTCAAACTCCTTGAGCACAGCAATAAGTTCAATAACATATAACTGCTCATCTATTTAAACAGTGAGGGAGTTTGCTGCATAAGGGACATTAGACATACCTGGAAAACAACTTTTCTATAAATGATCGTATATGAACTGCAATACTCTCCTTTTATGATGTCTGAGTGCTACCAAAATAGCTCAAGTTGCAAACATACATTTTTATATTCATTTTGTTATTTTATCTTTCTATTCTATTCCAGACCTCCAACAATTTCTGCCTCACTGACAACCAATATACCATTACTTGTTTACTTCCATGATGAAATATTATTTCCCATCAGAAACTGGTTAAGGTCAGAGGAATTTACAAAAGAATTCTGCCAGAAGGCAGTTCATGTCTAGCCACACTGATGTGGTGTGAGGAAGCACCACTAGATGGAGCACACACACCCCACTCCTACAAGCACAGAAATACACAAACACTCTCACGTGGCCTAAGAGAAAATTTAATGAAGCATTTTAGTTCTGCTTCCAGGATGAGATACTCAATATACAGTTATGAATGCTATCTTCCAGCATCATCCAAATCAACCATTATTACAGGAGAATTCCTTTCCACTCTGACATAGCTGCAGAGATTACTAGAGACATAATCAACATTTTGAAAGCTCATGGAGCAAAGGACATTTCTGCCCAGAAAATTAAATCAGATTAATTTTACCACACCATGGGACTGTGCTTACTACATCAGAATACAGGTGTTCATTTAAATTACTAGATCCCTTCATATTTCTGCTAAACTGAGAAAAGAACTTCTATCCTCATTTTTTTTTTCCAACTTGATGTTAGTTTCTTTTCACTAAATAATCCCACTAAAGGATGCAGATAGCGTGTAATTTCTGCTTATATATCTTAATATTAAGTATTGGTTTTTAATTAACCTTTGGTTGGGCATTGTTTCACATGTCTGTGAAATCTTTGATACCAAACTACAAGGCTCAAGACAACAGTGGATATGAGAAAGGCTAAGGTGGCAGCCTAGAAGAGCCAAAAGCATGAGACTGGAGTTCTTTATGACCAGCAAACCTCCTCCGTCTTGCAGCATACCATTCTGAGTTCTCAGTAGGCCTATTTGAGAGCAAGTTAAACATGTCAGGATCTGTTTTAACAATATCAGATGAAATATGAATTGCAACATTCTTCTTGGCTTACTTAAGAGTTTGAACTTTCTCCACAATGAAAAACTGAATTTTCCTAACCTTCCTGATTGTTTCTCATATATTTTATAAGGACATAGGAATGTTTTCAGTGCTGCTCTTTTAAGGTCAGAAACTATGCAAAGCTCCAAGCTTTCAAAACCTTTTGAATTATCTTGAGTTTTGGAAGTTTTAAGGTCACAGGAGCTCATGAATCATAGATTTGTCTTTTTACTTTCCTTCATTTCAGTGGTCTAAACAGTAAGTGTCTAGCCTGTTCTTCTTTCTTATTTATAGATACTTACATCTTCTATAATTAATTCGGATTCTTCATCTGTTTTTCCTGGGAACTTGATTCGCATGTCATTGATAATGAGAAGAGTCTCTTTTGTCAAAGCCACTTCTTGCTCTTTTGTTTTCTGTTGCAGTAAAGACTCACTCTAAAAACCAATACGAAGCAGAGAAAATAGTTCAAGTAAGCCATTAAATCACATTGCAAAGATGTTTGTTTGACACAAAAAAAATTCTAAATAGGGTGACAAAAAATGTATTAAAGTGTACAGAAATTATCTAATGCAGAACTAATATACATGCATGTGTCTCGTATGGTAATGCACCACCATTATTTAGAGTTGTCAAGAAATGTAAGAAAAACAGTTCAAATGTAAGTTTGTTTGAAACAGAATAAACAAATATTCAATATTTATGATGCCCACGACAAAGTATGTATTTGAAATTTAGATAACGGAGTTTGAATTTAAATTCAACATAATGAAAATATTATTACTCATAAAAAACATCCTTTCAGTTCTTCACTTCAGCAATTTAAGATAAACTGGCACTATGTCACTGAGCCAAGATTTCAGGAAGCACGAGAAAGTAAGGACACTTTGCTCCTGCTGCAGTCAGTAAGGGATCCAACAGTGTCTTCAGTTGTGCAGAATTTTGTTTGTTTGTGCTTTTAACACCAGCACTGATGTGATCTGCATAGGACCATCTCTGGAGGGTTTGGGGGTTTTGTTTAACACATAAGACACTAGTTAGAAGTACTTCTAATCCTCTTT